AAAAAAAAAAAAAAAAAAAAAGGATTATTTATAATGTGTGTGGTTAAAATGTATGAAAGTCTCCTGCTTTAGAAGATAGAAAAGAAGTGAGGCTCTATCTGGCTACTTACCTGTCAGAAGAGGAAACTGGGTCAGGCTGAGAACAGGGTGGCAGAGAGACTTATGCTTTGCTTTATTCCTTTATGTTGCTTTTGAAATTTGAACCATGTCTCTATGTTAACCTGTCTGAGAAAAAATGATGAGTTTTAGCATTGGTACCTTTAGAAACCGTGACCACAAAACAGCTAAGGCATGGTTTAGCGCTTAGCAGAGTGTGTCATAGCTAGTAGGCACCTAGACAATATTTCTTTTAGCTGGGTTGGGAGAGCAATGGGAATTATCGATATAATTTTTTTTTTTTTGGAACAGAGCCTCAAGCTATACCCTTGGGTAGAATGCTGTGGCGTCACAGCTCACAGCAACCTCCAACTTTGGGCTTAAGTGATTCTCTTGCCTCAGCCTCCCAAGTAGTTAGGATTATAGACGCTCGCCACAGTGCCTGGCTATTTTTGGGTTGTAGTTGTCATTGTTTGGCAGACCCGGGCTGGATTCGAACTCACCACCTCTGGTGCATGTGGCTGGCACCTTAGCAGCTTCAGCTACAGGCGCCACCCCGATATAATTTTTTTAGTGTATTTGTGGCAAGCTCATATGAAAAAGGTAGGACTGGACTTAATCTTTGTAAAAAGGCAGACTGGATAGATAGAGGAAAACAGGGCCCTGGAGGTAGAAGATGTTATTCAAGCAAAAACAAAGATAGGAATGAGCCATGTGTGCTCAGAGACTGGTGTGCTCAGGAAAAAAGACAGAGGTTAGAGAAGAGTGATAAATGACATTGACTGTGTATAGACAGTACTTGAGGTCCTTGAGCCAAGGTGTTTTACTTTTTATTATGGAAAATTTGAAATGTATACAAAAGACAAAGAAGTAGAATAGTACAGTGAATCCTATATGTCAGTCACAAGCTCCACTCATCAACTCATGGCCAAATATATTTTATCTTTACCCTTTCCCTTTTTTTTTCCCATTCCCATGATTATTTTGAAGCAGATTCTAGCTTTATTTTAGAAGGACCCACTTTTCCCATAAATATTTCAGCTTTGGCTCAGCGCCTGTGGCTCAGGTGGCTAAGGCACCAGCCACATACACCTAAGGTGGCGGGTTTGAATCCAGCCCGGACCTGCCAAAAACAACAATGATGGCTGCAACAAAAAAAATAGCCAGGCATTGTGGTGGGCGCCTGGGGTCCCAGCCACTTGGGAGGCTGAGGCAGGAGACTCGCTTGAGCCCAGGAGTTGGAGGTTGCTGTGAGCTGTGATTGCCACAGCACTCTACCCAAGGGGATAGCTTGAGGCTCTGTCTCAAAAAAAAAAAAGAAAATGAAAAAAATATATTTCAGCTTTTATCTCAAAGGTTTTTTTCTTTTAAGAGACAAGAGTCTCACTATGTCACCCTTGGTAGAGTGCTGTGGCATCACAGCTCACAGCATCCTCAAACTCTTGGACTTAAGTGGTTCTCTTGTCTCAGCCTCCCAAGTAGCTGGGACCACAGGTGCCTGCTACAATGCCTGGCTATTTTTTTTGTTGTTGCAGTTGTTTAGCTGGCCCAGGCCGGGTTCAAACCCACTGCCCTGGGTGTATGTGACTGTGTGGCTGGTGTCGGAACCAGTGTGCTATGGGTGCCGAGCATTTTATTTTATTTTTTTAAGAGACAGAGTCTCACTTTGTTGCCCTCAGTAGAGTGCCTTAGAGTCACAGCTCACAGCAACCTCCAGCTCCTGGACTTAGGTGATTCTCTTGCCTCAGCCTCTTGAGTAGCTGGGACTACAGGCACCTGCCACAATGTCCCGCTATTTTTTTGTTGCAGTTTGGCCAGGGTTTGAAATCACTGGGTTTGAACCCACCACCCTCGGTATGTGGAGCTGGGGCCCCACTCACTGAGCCATAGGCGCTGCCCCCTTTTTTTGTTTTTTGAGACAGCGTTTCACTCTTTTTTATGGGCTAAAGTGGGTGGCTTCATCCTACCTTACTGAAACCTCAAACTCTAGGACTCGGGATCTTGCTTCAGCCTCCCCAGAAGCTGGGGCTATAGACACCCAGCACAATGCCTGACTATTTTTTAGAGACAGGGTCTCGCACTTGCTTAGTCTAGTCTCGAACCTGTGAGCTTAGGCAGTCCACCTGCCTTGGCCTCCCAGAGTGCTAGGATTACAGGCATGAGCCGCTATGCCCAGCCAGGACATAGGAGTCTTCAACTCTACCTCCCCTTGTGGGAATATTTGTTAGAAAAACTCACAGTATTTTGTGTATGGTTATATTCACAACTAAGGTTTATCACAGTGACACAGTAAGTGTACACAGCTGGGTCATAAGAGGAAAAGATACAGGAGGAGGAATCCATGTGAGGCTTCCTTCAGGAATGAAGTGCAGCAGTGTTCTGTTCAGGAAGGCCCATTTGAGAGACTCATCACCCAAAGTTTTTATTGGGAACTGCTTACATAGCACCCTCTGCTTAGTACATACTAGCATTCCCAACCCCCAAAAGCAGAGCTTGTGTTCCATATGAATCCCGTTGTTTGCATAGTTCAGGTGCAGGGAGCTGCCCTTATCAGTTAACTGTTGACTGGGAGCTTTCCATGTTGTGCCCAGGAGTTCCACAAGGACCACATCGCCAAACAAGCTGAATTCACAGCAGAGTCCCTTTATTGAAGAGCCAGCTGGTGACTGCCTCACACCCAACACAGGGGTTCAGATAGCAGCCCCAAGTGCTTAAGGGGTCAGGCTGCATCCTGGTTAGCATGCAGGCTGCCCAGGTGCATTCAGGTAGGTTAGCAAGCATTGTATAGAAGCAGAATTTTGCAGTTAGTCAGTCATAACATCTTTGTTTCAGTACTTTCCCCACCTGGTATTTCTTAAAGGTCAGTCCCGGGACAGTTGGTACTTCCCAGTCTGTTTCTCGGGGGAGTTAGTCAAGCAAGAAGTCAGTGAGTACTTTCCCATCTATCTTGGGAGTGAATTGGATTTACTCCATTTCGTTGAGGGCCTGCAGCCCAGAAATTTGCCAGGAGTTAACTGGTATTTTTTCACCTTAGTCTAGGCCTAACATCCAGGAGCCAAATTGGCCAGGAGTCAGCCTTACAAGCAGACCTTTACAAAAGGTGTTCCCTGCTCCAGAATTCGATAATGAGTATTTTGTGGTACTGGTTATGGAGGTTGTGATGGGTATTCAAGTACCCTTATTTTTGCTGTTTTTCTTTTCCAGAATGGCTTTGACTACTTGCTGACATATAGTGACAATCCCCAGACTGTGTTTCCTCGCTACTGTGTTAGTTGGATGGTTTCCAGTGGTGAGTAGGGACATGTATACCTGGGTCCTGCATTTTGTTTTTATCTTTTTTTTTGTAGAGACAGAGTCTCACTTTATCGCTCTCGGTTGAGTGCCATGGCGTCACACAGCTCACAGCAGCCTGGGCTTAGGCGATTCTCTTGCCTCAGTCTCCCAGTGGCTGGAACTACAGGTGTCCGCCACAACACCCAGCTGTTTTTTGTTGCAGTTGTCATTGCTATTTAGCTGGCCCGGACCGGGTTTGAACCCACCAGCCTCGATGTATGTGGCTAGCGCCATGACTACTGTGCTACAGGCACTGAGTCTCTTCTCGTTCTTTATAGGCAGGTTAGGCAGCTTCTTACATTTCAGGGGAAAAAGAGAGAGACGATTAAGTATTTCTAGAGACGATTTGATATTTATCAAAGTAAGATTGACAGCTATTTTGGCCATATCATTGATAAGGGATATTTTAACCACCTAAAAAGGGTCTTTTGAGATGTAAGACCTCCAAAGGATCAGAGGTCATGGTTTGTTTTCACACACAGAGAACAACACATTCTGGGAGGCAGCTGTTATTCACAGGTTGTCAGTTAGATTGTGATCTCTATAAGGAAGAACTAACTGCCTATTATCAAACAGGTAGGGCCTTCTAATTTTGAGCCTACTGTTGCTTTGTATGTCAGCTTAACCAAATTCCCTTGTCTCATAACAGGCATGCCAGACTTCCTGGAGAAGCTACATATGGCCACTCTGAAAGCCAAGAACATGGAGATTAAAGTAAAGGACTACATCTCAGCTAAGCCTTTGGAAATGAGTAGTGAAGCCAAGGCCACTGCCCAACCCTCTGAGCGGAAGAATGAGGGTAGTTGTAGCCCTGCTCGGATTGAGTATGCCTGAGGGGCTTTGGGATAAGAAGGGATAGGTTTCCAGCCCTGTCTCAATCCTTTATCACTCTGCTATGGAATGGGGACAAGCCACATGTATTAGAAGGCGTCTTCTGTAACTACCTGTGCAAGATAATTCAATAACTGATGTCTGATTTTATTCAGAGCCCTTATTGCTCTTATCAACACAGAGAGAAGAAGGCGACATCCATGGGGATGTTGCCATAGTCTCAGGCCAACCATTTTGAAATTCAGTATTCTACTGAACTAATCTGGAACAAACTTCTCACCTCAGGCCAGAAGGGGATGACCTTCATTTGTTTCCTGAGTAGTTTCCTCTGCTGACATTCCAAATCTCACTATTGGTTTTGCAGTGCTTTCGATTTCCTTTAGTTCTGCAGGTCCACCTGGAAAGTGTAGTTGACTCATCTATCAAATGAGGGGGTCACTGGAGTGTTCTTGGTGGCAGTTGACATGAATGGATGTGAACAATACTTGGCCATGTTAAGTGCCTTGTCCTTACCTTGCTTTTATCTTTAGGGACATGAAGTTTGTACCAAGAACTTTCTCTCTTTGCCTGCATAATACCACCCCATTTACTAACTTTATTTACCCAAAGCAGTTTCCTTTGAATTGGCCAGTTCTTCAGTATTCATGTAACTGTATACCTTGGATCATTGCCTCTTTCCTCACCTTAGCCCATTTAGGTGAGTACTGAAGAGTACTGGAAGATGAGTCCTTTTAGATAGTAGCTCTGTTTATCATCAGTGTGTTGATAGGGTCAGTGGAGACGCTCAAAACATCGTATTTGAATTTAGTTTTAATTTTTTTAACCTTTGTGTCAAAAAGGAGGAGTTGGGGGAGTTGAGCAGAATATAGTCCCATTGTATAGAAAACACTTTAGATTTAGGCATTATTTTTCAGACTTATGTTTGACTTGTCCTTTTTGGAAGGTTAAAGGCAGAGGAATGGTGGCTGGGCCACTGTCTCGGAGCTCTTAGGTCTGTAGATAAGCGGTGTGAACTCATAGATGTGATCTTGCCCCAAATACTAATATAGTGGGGATTTGATTTATGTGACCCTCTTGTTTCTGTAAAAAGATTTTCCTTCTCTCTTCAGAGTAAAAACCAGCTATGGTGTTCAGATAAGGTCACATTAGATGGTATCAGTTTGGCCTAGCTGGTTTCGCTGTGGTCATGCTGCAGTCTCTCGGGAGAATAGGGATCAAGTTTTAAATCTTCCTCCCTCCTTTTTTTCTGGAGTTTAAATGGCCAGATTTTTCCCTTTTTTCTTTTTCCTTTCTTTTTTCCCCTGCTTGCTACCCTTTTGTGGTGTTGAAAAGGTGTTATAAACCTGAGACTAATATAAACCTTTCCTTGACCTCCTTGCCTGTTCAGATTTGTGCCAAGGAAGTAACTGCCCCAGTGTTTTACGTCTTGCCTTCTCTGAGTTGTTGGCATAGCAGAGAGAGATGCATTGAACAGTCCCAGCTTCTTTTCATTAATCACTTCTCTGGACCTGACAAAAAAGCAGGAAAGAGACCCTGGGTTGTGTCCGAACTTAGCACCTGTGATCATTGGGGCATGGATGGGTGTGGGTATATGTGTGTGCACAGGTGCTGAGAAGTTGTGGTTACTCCGTGTTCTGACTTACGGCAATTTGACTCTGTACTTGGGGTCTGTCTGTACGGTTACTTATGTAATTGTAATGATTTCACTCCTAACTGTGACATTTTTATCAAATGCGTGAATAAATACATAAAGATTGGTACAAAAGAGTGTTTGTCTTTGGACAGATGGTGGTGGGGAAATCTTGCACATTGGGCTTATCATTTCTTTGTGATCACAAAGTTGAATTTCTATTCCCAAGAGTTGGCAAGTGGAAGTAGCAGGGTTTGTTCTTCCTTGGTAGGTGGTGGCTGACACACATTACCTAGTTTAGACACCTAGTCCTTTCCAGATGACCTGTTTGGCAACTGAAAATAAAACAGCTATTTTCATTTCCCTCTTGATCCCTAGCCTTTAAAGAAGGATCAGTTTGGAGGAAATAGCAGTTAGTAAAAGTCAGGAGAGACTTGAGCAAGTGCAAGGTCTAGAGTTGAGCAGGGCCATTCATCATCCTGGTGGAGAGGTAGTTATGCTGTAACACCATGAACAAAACATGACTTTAGAGTTTCTGTGTTATTTTTGCCTGTGGGAAACACTAGGTGAACACAAAAGCTCGTTTGAACTGAGTTGCACAAAGCACACGGGGCACACGGTCTTGTGCAACTTCCAGTCTGATTTCAGAGAACATCCTTGTCTCACAGCAATCTACAGCCCTTCTAGTGGCCACCCCAGCCCTGTTCCTCATACCCCTCTCTTTCCCTTTCCTGTCTCCTTTTTATTTTTCCCTCTCTCCTCTCTCTCTTTTTTTTTCCTCTGTCTATATTTTCTCTCCCTTTGTCTTTCGTTTTCTTCCTCTACAGGCAGGCATGGGAGGTGGGTGGATGGGCGAGCAGGTGTCTACAAGCAAGCTGTAGGTCTTTATCAAGGTAAAGTGCTTGTTATATATTTCTTAACTATTTGACATGTATGAAACTGCTGCCATTTTTTTTTTTTTTTTTTTTTTTTTGGAGACAGATTCTCACTTTGTCACCCTCAGTAGGGTGCTGTGGCGTCATAGCTCAGAACAACCTCTAACTCTTGGACTCAAACAGTTCTCTTGCCTGATGCTCCCTAGTAGTTGGAACTATAGGTGCCCACCACAATGCCCAGCTATTATTATTATTTTTTTTGTTTAGCAGGCCCAGGTCAGGTTTGAACCCACCAGCCTCAGAGCTTGTAGCCAGTGCCCTAACCACTGAGCTGTAGATATCCCAACTGCTGCTGTTTTTATGTGTAGTGGTTTATGTATTTATTTATTTTTTGAGACAGTTTCCTTATGTCACCCTTGGTAGAGTGCCGTGGCATTAGAGCAACCTCAAACTCTTGGGTTTAAGTGATTGTCTTGCCTCAGCCTCCCAAGTAGCTGAGACTACAACTCCTGGCTATTTTTTGTTACAGTTGTCATTGTTTTTTTAGCTGGCCCGGGCTGGGTTCGAACCCACCAGCCCCAGTGTATGTGGCCAGAGCCCTAACTGGGCACCAAGTATCTAAACCTATTTTTCCCTAGGCCTTAGTGCTTTTTGTTCTGTAAGGTCTTCCATCATGTGTGTAGAGGCATATGTGTTAGAGCAACATCAATTGTACCATGAATAAGAGGACCGTAGAATGGGAATGTAGTGATTGATTTCCTGGCCGGTATGGACTTGGCCATCACATAGTTCACAGCATGGTGACCATGGTTGTGTTAGCATAAGGTTTTTATTTTGAAACATTTTATATGTATTGAAAAGTCAACAGAATAGTTTAAAAACTGCCTTATATACCCTTCCCTACATTTTTTTTTTTTTGCAGTTTTTGTCCAGGCCTTGGTTTGACCCCACCACCTTCAGCATATGGGGCTGGCACCCTACTCTTTGAGCCACAGGTGCCGCCCTCCCTTCCCTACTTTTGATGGCAGACAACATCTTGCTGGTTGCTTTCTTTTCTATACAGTATATTTTCATGACCATTTTAAAATTAGATACAAGCATGATATTTTATCCCTAAACACTTGAGCATGCTTTTTTATGATAAAGATGTTATGTAACCACAGTGCCACAAGCACACAAAGTAAATAACAATGTCACAATATCTAATAATGTAGTTCTTATTAAAATTCACCTAGTTGCCTCCTAAATAGTCTTACTCTGCATGGTCTGGAGTGCAGTGACAATCATAGCTCACTGCCACCCACAGTCTTAGGCTCAGCCCCCCAAGTAGCTAGGACTAGGGGTGCTTGCCACCATACCTGGCTAATTTTTTTTTTTTTTTTTTACAGTTTTTGGCTGGGGCTGTGTTTGAACCCACCACCTCCAGCATATGGGGCTGGCACGCTACTCCTTTAAGCCACAGGCGCTGCCCCACCTGGCTAATTTTTAGAAAAATTTTGTGGAGACAAGGGAGGTCTCACCAGATTCCTTAGGCTGGTCTTAAATTCCTGGCCTCAAGCATTCCTCCTGCTTTAGCCTCCCAAAGTACAGGCATTAGCCACCATGTCCAGCTCCAGATAACTTTTATATTGTCATGCTGTTGGCTTATGTTGAGTTTAAGATTAGCCAAAAGCTGCCATTACTGAGCACCTGCTATACCAAGCACTATGCTTAATGCTTCTATCTAATTCTGGAATCCTGTGAGTGTGGAGTGAGCACTGTTTTATAGATGAGGAAATGGCATCAGATGGTAAGTAATTTCTTGCTGAAGATGGCACAGGAAATGGTGACCCAGGATGCAAACCTAGCTTTGACCTCTTGAAAAATGCCTCTGCCAGCATGGCTTAAAACTTAGGTTAGTTTCTCATAGAAATCTCATGTTAGATTCCTTCCCCTGGAGTGGTTGACTTGCTTTAAAGCTTGGATCATAGGCTTTCTTTTCACCTGTGCTGAATTGTGTGTGATTTACACCCCGTACGACTTGTTCTATCCAGTATTGTAGCTGGTTGCAGTGCTGTTTCTGTGAGTGTCTGAAACATCAGTATTATTTTTCTCCTAAAAACTTCAGAATGTACACCATTCCCTGTGCTACACAATTTAATATAAGGGGATAAGGGGAGGGTACTCTTAGGGATAACTTGAAACATTTTCAAAATAACCAGTCTTTGTTACACACCTGGTAAGACAAACATCTATACCTTCTCAAAAGATTTTATAGTGAGTATTTTCAATGATTGAATAAACTTGGAAGTCTTTTTTTTTTTGAGTCAAGAGTCTTACTATGTTGCCTTGGGTAGAGGGCTGTGATGTCACAGCTCACAGCAACCTCAAACTCTTGGGCTTAAGTGATTTTCTTGCCTTAGCCTCCCGAGTAGCTGGGACTACAGGCACCCACCATAATGCCCAGCTATTTTTTTGTTGTTGCAGTTTGGCAGGGGCTGGGTTTTTTGTTTTTTTTTTTTGAGACGGAGCCTCAAGCTATCCCCCTGGGTAGAGTGCCATGGCATCACAGCTCACAGCAACCTCCAACTCCTGAGCTCAAGCGAGTCTCCTGCCTCAGCCTCCCAAGTAGCTGGGACTACAGGCGCCCACCACAGCGCCTGGCCATTTTTTGGTTGCAGCCATCATTGTTTGGTGGGCCCGGGCTGGGGGTTCGTACCCACCACCTTAGGTGTATGTGGCTGGCGCCTTAGCCGCTTGAGCCACAGGCACCGAGCCCAGGGGCTGGGTTTTAACCTGCTACCCTCGGTATATGGGGCCAGCGTCCTGCCCACTGAGCCACAGGCACTGCCCTGAAAATGATCTTAAGGTAAAATATGCTGTTCCCACAAGCTTCAGTGAGTACTTGATAAGAGCATCATTCAAACAGTACCCCTCAGGCTATACACTATCACTGTTGCTTTAATAACCTCAGCCTTGATTGTGGTCCACAAATGTACTTTATGTTTAGGGCAGCGCCTGTGGCTCAAAGGAGTAGAGTGCTGACTCCATAAGCCGAAGGTGGTGAGATAAAGCCTAGCCCCGGCCAAAAACTGCAAAAAAAAAAGAAGTTTAAACTGATAAATGATCTCACTTTATTATCTACTTTAAAAGAGCCTAACCACACCTAAGAAGGGAGGCTGAATGTTTGAAAGTAGTAATACTTGGATGTTTTTACAGATATGATAATGCATTTTATCATATCTTAAATCTGCCATTACATGAGTTAGGATTATGTTCAGCCTCAAGGAACAAGAAACTCACAATATGGCTGAAACAAGGCTACCCTTGATTCTTGGGAATGTAGCCAGTCTAGGGCTGGCATGGTAGCTCTACAGTCCTCCCAGTTCCAGGCTCCTGCTATCTTGTTTCACTTCACGGGACCTCCACCAAGGTGGAATCACGGTTTCATCAGGATCTCAAGCATGTTGTATTTTAAGGTTTCCAGGGAACCTAATGTGCAGTAAAGCTTGAGAAACACCAGTGTAGTGGTTAAAAATACAAAGTCTGGAGCTAGAGTTGAGCTGTACGACCTTGAATAGGTTGCCAAACTTGTGTTTTTTTCCTTATCTGTACAAGGGAAGTAAGAGTGCCTACCTCTTCGGGTTGCTGTGAAGATTGCAGTCCACGTGGAAAGCACATAGACTGGTGCCAGAGACTGACTGACCACTTAATATGTTCTATCTTGTTTTCTCCTGGTGATGTTTCTGGATATACTGCAGTTCATCAACACCCTTCCTAAGGCACCCAGGGAACTAGATCCCATTCTGTGCCAGCACCATGAGATATGTGTTGTGCTCACTAACAGCTGTGTTAGTGCCTCAGTGGGGCTCGCTCCACTCCAGCCGTCCTGTCTGCCCAGCACTGGGAAGGAAGAAAGGGAGAAGAGGATGTCTCCTCCCTTTGAGGATATTTTCAGAATGGTACGCCATTTCTGCCTATAGCTCAATGGGCACAGACTTTAGTTAAAAGAACACCTAGTTGCTGGGAAATAGAGTCTATATTAAATTCAGAGGTAATTTTGCAGGGGACAAGGGAAGAATGGAAGTGGAGGATGACTGGCAGGCTTTGCCAAATTATAGATTAAAATAACTTTATTTTAAAAAATTGTTTTTTGTTTGGGATTCATTGAGGGTACAAAGAATTAGTTACACTGATTGCATTTGTTTAATCAAGTCCCTCTTATAATTGTGTCCCACCTCCAAGGGTAAAATAACTTAAAATATATCACTTCAAAGGACT